TAAAAGGTTTTTCTTATATGCAAGAAATTGGTAACAATGGGTCTCTCTGGGGAGTGGACCTGGATGCCTGGGAGATGGGAGGAAGAAACCGTTACCTAAGGATCATTTAGTACATTTTGCATGCAATTATTAGCTGTTTAAAAGTGATTAAGTTGACTACTTGTAAAAGAAATCATTCCTGATAAAAGGCCTTCAGCTACTTTTCAGTGGGAGGCTTCTTCCCTGGCCTCCATCTCTGCAGCTTCTTGTCTTGCTTCTTGCTACCCTCCCTCCCCCACAACTCTCCCTCCAGACAAGTATAAAGAATATGTCTCTACTGCTACCCAAGCAGAAGGCAGGAAAGACTACAGAAGATTTGGATTCTAAAGAACAAGCTCTTTCCTGTGTTTATATTCATGTAAGGGAGAATGCCCCTGGCTTCTCCTCACCTTCCCTCAGAGTAGGGACTGGGGAGGGACCCAGGCTTCCATGTTAAGCACCAGGGCCTCCAGGAAGAGTGGCATGCCTCCCCAAGGCTGTGCATCAGATCTCCAGGGTTTTCTTGCCATGAGTGTGGAAAGTCACAGCCATGGCCACCTGCTCCAGTCTCATGTGCTGTTTCATCAGCCACGTCAGGCTCATGAGGTCCACCAGCTGCTAGGTTGGAAGAATATGTACTTGGCAGAGTTGTCTTCCCCGTACCCAGACAGCAGCCTTTCTGCCTCTGCATGGAGAAGTACTCAGTGCAGTGCTGTGGGACAGTTCCCCTTCCACTGGCACCTGCCACATCCACCTGTGCCCCCACTTGTCCCACTGCACAAATGAGAGGATGAGGAGTCTGTATCCCTGCAGTAAACCAGTGATCTCAGCAGAGCATGGGGGACTCCAACAGAGGAGGAAAAACCTGGAGTCTCAGCCAGTGAGCCAGCCAGGCCAAGGCAGGTGGACAAGAAGAACTGTGAATGACTCCTCCCAAGGAATGGCGGTGGCCCTGGCCTGCCAGAAGAAATCCCACTGGCCAAATTCTGCTGCCCACATGAGGACAGGACAACCTCCAGGCCTGCCCAGCACCCCTCAGCTAAGGAGCTGGGACTTCACTGGTGGGCTCTGGTCAATTTGCTGAAAATCAAATTACTAAATGCCAATTTGTCAGATTCTCTGAACTGTCGAGGATTTTTTCAAACTCCTTTTTTCAGTGAAAAGGTCAGATTTCCCTCAAATGCACCCTATGTCTGCTCCAGCTCTGGAGGCTATCACACAAATACTCTAAGCTGAGACACCACAGCCACGTCACAGGTGGGGGCTGATGTGCTTCAGGGGCATGACCCAGAGTGGGAGAGGGGCTGGGGCTAGGCAACTAAATGTTTTAACTAAAACCTAGAAAAATACTCAGTGATTTTTTTTGAAAGAGTGGTCATCCAAGGGTTGGAGTAACAGGTGAATTTTTTTTTACTTCCTCACACATTTGTGTGTTACCATTAATTGTTCACAATGATTTACTTTTTTGATGAGCAAAAATAATCCTGGCAGCCACCTTTGTACATAAAGACATGTATCAAAGCCAAATAATGTTATTAGCAGTAGCTCCATTCTCAGAGCACTATAGTCATTCCATAATCCCTAAGTCCTCCCCTTCTGTCATCTTTAACCATGTGTTTCCAGCATTCCATACATATTTTCTATGTATGTATTCCATACATACATGTTTTTTCCTTCATACATCATTTCTGACTACCTAAAATCTGACAAGCTAAAATGTGTCTCTTGCAGCACGCTTGGTGAAATCCTTCCTTGTCCCAACTTCATTATATTATGAGACCTCTCCTTTCTGTCATTTTGTGGCATCAGAAGTGTTGCACTTTTGTTTTCTCTATTTCTCATTATTTTTATAAAAGACTGAGAGGTGAAATGCAATAATACTGTTGTTCTGAAACTTTTTTGGAAGAAGTCAGCTCTTCTTCAAAATGCAGGCTTTCCTAGCAGTTGAGCAGCTGTCTGAAAGGGAATGGGGGCCCTGGACTCCCACTCCCAGTGGGTCCCTGGGCTGCTCCCCTTGTCCCAGCCGCCACTTCTCCCTCTGCCTGTGGCCCTTTCACACATGCATTGCCTGCCTTTGAAAACTACCATTAAGGGCTGGCCTGTAGCTCACTCGGGAGAGTGTGGTGCTGACAACACCAAGTCTAGGGTTGAGATCCCCTAACTGGTCATCTTTAAAAATAAAAAAAAGAAAACTACCATTAGCCTGTAGCTCACTCGGGAGAGTGTGGTGCTGACAACACCAAGTCTAGGGTTGAGATCCCCTTACTGGTCATCTTTAAAAATAAAAAAAAGAAAACTACCATTTAATCACTGCCATAAATTATTCAAATACCAGCACAGACACTGGTCTGGTGACTTGGTCAAAACTGAACTGATGGCTGCTGGCCGCGCCACCATGGCATCGCTCCATACTGGTGGCTGTTCATCGCCTGACATACCAAAATCTGGATTTGGCATCTAAAAAGTGGGTAAAGTGTGTCACCAGGGAACGCATAAAAGGTGGTTCCACAAGTAGAGGACAGTACATGAAGGAGTTTTCTCTGAAAACCAGGACTCTCAGAATTATCCCATTTCTCCAACCACGCAGAGCCTCTATGTATTACCTTCTGTCCCTTTCTGCTGGAGAAGCTCAGAGGTCCAGACAAACCCTCTGCAATGCAGAAGGCCTAGTTGATCCCAGGATTAGAGACCAAATTTTAGTTCCTCACAGTAACTGTTCTGAGACACTGAAATAATCTCCCCAGAAAAATGGACTCTCTTTGGATTGTTGCTGCTGTTTTAGTTTTTTTGTTGTTGCTGTTGATTTTGTTTTGGTTTTTTAGAAAGGGAAAGGGCTCTCTGGTGGTTATGCAGTTCCCTAAAGGGGAATGAATGGATGGCGTGCCCTCTTGAGGTCTCTGCACTCCAGGGCTTCTGAAGAGTCTGACAAGAAGCCCCTTGCACGCTGCACGGGGCTGGACTTCCCGAGTCACCATACCACCTCCTGGGGCTCAGGCAGGGCCTGAGGACTGGTCAGCTTAGGTTTGGATGCAGGCTAGGATGAGAAAAGTGTTTCAAGGACTTTTGTCTAAAGAGGACAGTGCTCTGCCTGGATCTGCTAGCTGTTCACTCATTTGCTCAGTTGATGTCCACTGAGGCCTGTTCTGAAGCCCTACTGGGTGCTTGCAGTTCAGTATCCACGGGATGAGCCCCGCCCAGCCATCCCATGGGTGACTCACCAACTCGCTGCCCACTGCCTCTGCCCTTTCCCTAGTCTTCAAGCATCACTAACAAACTCGCGTTACATCTAAGGATCAAAATTTCCCTTCTCAACCCTTCCTCCCACCAAACTCCCTGTCCTTGTCATTCCTTCATCCTCAGACTGGCCCCTCCTCTCCCTCTAAGCTTTCAGCAGAATATCATGCCAAACGTACCTGAAGCCCATTGCCTCTTTCCTCCCCATGTCTCTCTCTGCCTTTCATTCCAAACCAGCTCCAGAAGTCCCACCTCACAGTGCTTTTTCCAACTAACATGTGCCAGGCACTGAGGTGCATGATGCACATTTTCTGATTGAACCCTGTGGGGAAGATATTATCTGTTTTACAGAAAGGAAACAGGTTCGTGGAAGTTAAATAACTCAGCCAGTTAACAACAGAACTGGAACTCGATTCTTCAATGAACTAAGACAATAACTGAACCACACACACCATGCCTAACACTAAATAAGAAGGCTGTGATTTCTCTTTCCCCTGCCCTGCCAGATCATAAAATTCCAGATTCATTCTACCCCACGTGGTTTATACAAAACATAGATCTGGAGGTTCAAATGTTTGTTAGATTTCTGTCCTGATTCCCTCATTTCCCTAGAGCCTGTGGGGCCTGTGGGAATGCCCAGTTCCTGGTGGCAGAAATGGGAGGGTAGGGCAGAGCAGAGGAGCACAAAGGCGCAGAAGGGTCTTGTCTTAATCTGTACATCACTTGATCTCAGGATAAACTCAGCAAGAGCTGGGCCAGAGCTGATTCCAGTCCACTTTGATCTGGATTTACCCCAGAACTGGTCCAGAACACAATTAGTTTCCAGAAAAGAATAACAGGAAAGTATTTGCCTCACTTTAGACAAAGGACAGGTTGGTGGGTGGTTATACTTTTGTTTCTTTCTTTGGAGCAACTTCAAACATGGAGTCAGCAAAAATGCCAGCCATGTGGGTAACTAAACTTGAGTCTAAATCCTGCTTCAGGTTGCCTGTGCTCTGGAGGCTGTAATCTATCTCAAGGACAGTCCTGAGCCTGTCTGCAGAACCCAGGTGCAGCCGGCCAACTGCTGTGCCATCCTGCTCTGCTGCAGGGCTCTTCCGCTCTCCACATGTCCTAGGGAAGCCCCTGGAGCCAGACCTCCTCTCTCTCACCTCCTACTCCCAGATCCTTCTCTACTGGAGCCCAGTCAGGTCCCTGGCCACAAAGAGCCAACCTTGAGCCCAAAGACTGAAAAAAAAAAAGTTTTAATAAATACAAAAATCTCCAATAACGACTCTGCTCAGCTCAGGGGCAGCAGGAGTGGAGTGGAGGGACCCTTGGTGCTGAGTGAAGATAAATTAAAAATCCCAACAAGCCAGTGACACTATGTACAGAAGGAAAGGGGTCAGGCTCCCAGGGCAGAGGCCGGAGGGTGACAGGGCAGGAGATGGAGTGGATATGGCCTTGGTCTGGCCCGGCTGCCTCTCCCCCTTGCAGGCTGTGGTTCCCAGAGGTAGTGGGGGGGGGGGAGAAGAGGCAGAACAGAGGAGCCAAAGGCACTGGGTTTCCCCACAGGAGAACACAGAGTCCTCGGCACCACCCCTTCCCCCAGCTCAGGCCCCGTCCTCTTGGTCATGCGGCCTCCTGGTGGCTCCCTAGGAGCCTTCAGCCTCCTTCTCCAGCTCTGGAACTGTCCTGGCCTCTGGGGCTGCTGGGGGGGGGGGGGGGGGAGAAGAGGCAGAACAGAGGAGCCAAAGGCACTGGGTTTCCCCACAGGAGAACACAGAGTCCTCGGCACCACCCCTTCCCCCAGCTCAGGCCCCGTCCTCTTGGTCATGCGGCCTCCTGGTGGCTCCCTAGGAGCCTTCAGCCTCCTTCTCCAGCTCTGGAACTGTCCTGGCCTCTGGGGCTGCTGGAAGCAGAAGGGAGACAGTGTTGAAGGAGGAGAGAGGGAACGGGGTGGCATGGAGAAGGCACGGAGGGCAGAGCAGAGCGTCGCTGCTGTGGCCCCAGGAGTCAGAATCTTCTGAACAAGTCCATGCACACCAGCTTTGTGACCTGAGTCTAGCTGCTTCATTCCTCTGAGCTTCAGAACTCTCACTGGTAAAGAAAAGGTAATGGATAACAACTCCACAAGGTTGCTGTGGAATGGCACTTGTGAAGCAGACCACAGTGTTCCTGGCACACAGGAGGGGCCCCCTTCCCTCCCCAGTGTCCCATGGTGCTGCTGCCCCTGGACTCCCTCACTTACGCCGCCTGGGTGTGCAGTGGGAGCAGCATCGACTCTCCTTCCTCGAGCCACAGGACAGTGGTGGTGAACAGTCGTCCCGCTCACAGTGAGGCACCCCTGCCTGGTGCAGGACAGAGACAGAGGCCCTGGGGCACAGTGGCCTTCAGTCTTTTCAGAGAAGCCCACCTCCAGGAGTCTGCCCTCCCTAGGAAGGTCTCCCTGCTCCAGGCCAGGCCCCCAGTGCCCACCTCACACGAGCTCCCACTCCCCACTTACCCCACATTTGCAGGTGATACAGCTCATCTCCCCAAAGGGGGGCACCGATGGGTGCCAGCTCTGGCTCTCTGGGAACCACTGCCCTGCAAAACGGCAGCCTCGGGGCCCATCAGCCTGCATGGGGTCTCCCAGCTGGGGGCGGGCCCCTGACCCCACTGTTGGGAGGGAAGGAGGAAGGGGTCAGCCTGGGAGGCTAACCAGGTTTTATTTCTCTTCAAGTCCCCAACACCTAGCAATTTCTAGCATTTAGTAGGTGAATAAATTTGGATGGATGAGTGGGGTGGGACCTGGAACCCATCACACGCCACTGCTATGTGCACATTCTTTCCACTGCATTTAGAGCCCTGGCTCCAAGTTATGCACTGAGCAGTGCTCGGTAAGTGCTGAACTAGCTGAGAAGTCCCTTCCCTCTGCCCTCATTACACATCCCCTCATCCAAGTCAAAGCCTGCCCCATCCCCAAAGGTGAGCCTCAGTACCCACACCTCTCACCTGGACACTGTTTGCAGCAGTCAGTGGGGTTGGCACGGACAGGCTGGGCACAGGCCAGCCGGGGACACTGCACCTTCTCACAGTGCACCTCTCCAGTGTCCCCCTGTAGGGATCCATGGAGTGAGACGTGTCAGGAAGGAGGGGCCACCTAAGCTTCCTGCTTCCTCCCTCTCCTTTTTGACACCTCAAATGTTACATCTCACAGATGCAAGCCCCGGCATTATGTACCTGGACTCAGATCCTCAGTGTAACCCTGCAAGGTAGGCTATCACCTCTGGTTACAGGAGCAGAAATGAGGCTCAGGGAGGCACAGAAAGTGCCTAGGGCCGCGTGGAGATAGTCACCTTGCAGAGCTAGAATTCACACCCAGACCAGCCCTTTCCCTTTCCCTATAGGAAGCTGACTCACAAAGCCAGGGGACTTTTCTCATACTGTTTCTGTGCCTGAGCCCTCCTCACCAAGAATGGGCTTTCCTCTCCTGGAAGCCCCCTCCCCAACTCTGCAGAGCCAGCTGGGTTATGGCACCAGAGAAGATTGGGCAGCCATACCTTGCAGGTGCAGACAGCACACTTAATTAAGCCAAAGGGGGGCACAACAGGGTGCCACCGGGTCCCCGCTGCCCTCCAGCTCCGGTCACCATCAAAATAGCAGCCTGGTGGGGGACAGTGCCCAGCTGCATTAGTACTGAGTTCATCAGCTGGGCCCACTACTAAGGCTTAAGCCTCAGGCTAGCCCCACACTAGCCTAACCCAAGGGCCTACTCATGGGCCAGTCACACTAATGAGGCCTGTCAGGTGTCACTTGGAACCTGTGCCCCTCATCCCTCCCCCATACACACTCTCCCCCTCCTTGTTCAATCCAACAGCACCTCTGGATCCTCCCACCCCAGCACGCACCCTTCCAGCTCACCCTCTCCTGGGTCTCGGCTCCTAGGCAGATCTGGCAAGTCCCTGGCATCTTCTTTGTCTGTGAAGCCAAAGAAATGGTGGAAGCAGAGGGTGACCCCTCTCCGACCCCTCCACTACATTCTCTTCCCCTGTGGGGAACCCACCTGGGCACATGGGGCAACACTGCTCCGGCACCTGCACCGGGCGTGGGCAGCTGGGTGGTGGGCAGACTACCGGGTCACAAATCACTGTGCGTCTCTGCAAAGAGGGGTGGGGGAGTTGATGGGGTGCCGGGCCCCTTGCCTCAGGCCTCAGGTCCCAGTGCACCCTTCTCAGATCTCCCACCTGACAAGTGCAGAGTGAGCAGAGCGGGTCGTAGTTGGGTGCCCAACGAGCCCCGTGGGGACGCTGCTGCCCCTCAAAGAAGCATGTGTTGGGGTCTCGGGGCCTCCCAGGGCCACCAGGTTTGGCAGGCGCTGGGGCTGCAGGGCCAGGCACGGCGGGCAGTGCAGCCAATGAGGCAGCTGCTACATCCGGAGCCCCGGGTGCCTGCGCCTCTGTGGTCCCGGCTGCCGCCAGGCGCAGACCACCCACCTTGCATTGGTTGGCAATGTGCACCTGGGAGGAGAGGCCGAATGAGGCAGTGCCAGGGCTCCCCCTCACGTCTCCACCATTGGCGGCACATCAGCCAATGGGAGACACCTCCACCCCCTGAGTACTGGGGTGCCCTAGGAAGATGCTACTAGCCTCAGCAATCATTCCAGCTGCCAGGGACAGTGCAGTGGGCTGCCAGCCTCCTTATGTACCTTGTCTGGCTTCATCCTCCCAACCAGCCAGGGAGTTCAATACTACCACCCCCAAGGCTCAGAGAGAGCAAGTGACTAGTGCAAGAGCACACAGTGTCAGCCCAACTCTGCACCATCCTCACCACCTACGCCACCCACCTACCTGCCCTCGAAGCTCCCCTCTGGGGCTACCCTTGGTGGTGATCAGCAGGGAGGCAGTGCCCTGTGCCAGGTGTTGCAGCAGCTCAGGCTCCAGGTCCTTCACCACACCCTGGGCCTGTGAATAGACAGGATGAGGGATGGGAACAAGGCACTTTAGGGCTCTACCCTTGGTGGTGATCAGCAGGGAGGCAGTGCCCTGTGCCAGGTGTTGCAGCAGCTCAGGTTCCAGGTCCTTCACCACACCCTGGGCCTGTGAATAGACAGGATGAGGGATGGGAACAAGGCACTTTAGGGCTGAGCCTACTGTCCCCAATTCACAGATGAAGAAACTGAGACCCAGGGAGGTTAAATAAGGTCTCCAGGGTTAGCAAAGCCCATTGGCGATGGTGTAGAGCTTGGAAGCCAGGTCTCTCTGACTCCAAGTTCATGGCAACCCACCCCACTTCAGGGGGCTTGGTCCATCCCACCTAACCCTCTAGAGGTCCAGGATATTACATACTATCCAAGGGATCCCACCAGAGAAGGACATAGAAAGGAGAATGAATAGTAAAAAGCTGTCAGATTCATCCCAAGTCTGCATGACACCTGAGCCCATGCCAGCTCTGCAATACCAGGCTGCCTGCTCTCTGCTTCCCCCAGCACAGGCCCACACAGCCCTTCAAGCTAACAAGCAGGCATTTTCCAAGCTGTCCCCCACTATTATGTCCTCACCTCTGGGCCATAGAATCCCTTCAGCAGCCGCCGGGGCCCTGGCATCCCAGGAGGCCCAAGGAGGTGGGCAGTCACGGTGCCCTGTTCTGAGCCACCAAGCCCAGCCAGCAGCACTTCATAGTGCAGGTGACAGTGGGTATCCAGGGAGAGCCAGGCATGCCCTGCTGCCTGGCTCTGCACAGGTGGCAGCACGAGGGCTCCTGCCAGGGGCACAGGCAGTGCTGGGTCCAGACAGAGGAGAGGTGACAGGTGAGAAGGTAGCCTAGAGCAGCCCCTCAATCCCAGCATTCCCCATCTCCTCCAGCACATGCTGCATAAGCTGGAAGACATTGTCCATAGGCCCCAGGCCTTGGAAGCAGCAAATCTCAGACCCCTGTACGATGGCAACAGGGAAAGTCTGCAAGCAGGGCCACCCTCCACATGCCCACCTTCTCCAGATGCCAACCTGGACCCCAGGCACAGAGAAAGGCACACCAGGCTCTGGCCCTCTGACATCATCCCTCACATGCTTGAGTCACAAGGTAGAATACGCCAAAGGGCAGGCAGACCCCTTGGGCACTCACTGTCATGGCGGGCACTGTGCCCACTGTAGGGCAGGGCGGCCACGTGCCCCCGCAGCTCTCCGTCTGGGAAGTCCTTGGTGCCCACGTTCAGGAACAGCTCATTTTGCAGCAGCATATGAGCCCCTCGGGCACCTAGTCCAGCGCAGACACCCACAGCCTGGGGAGCAGGGAAAGATGAGCTCACCCCAGCTTTTACACAAGCCCAAGATTCTGCAGCCTTTCCACATTTTGTACCCCCACTACACCCAGACACACCTCCACATACCAATAACAGACATAAGAATCTTGCAGGCCCAGTTTCCAGTCCCTTCTCTGCCACTTCCTAGCTATGTCAAACCTTAAAGAATTACTTAGCCTCTCTGAGCCTTCACTTCTTCATCTGTATAATGAGTACTGTGAAAGCCAGAAAATATGTATAAATAAGGCAACCACTGCAGTGCCTGGCACATAGAAAGTCCCAATAAGTAGCAACATTGCTATCACATTTATTATTATATGGTCTAATTGCACTGTTTTCCATACCTCATTCCTCCCACTTGACTGTGAACTAGCTGAGAATAGGGGCCACATCTGACTTTCTTTGAACACCAGACCCTAGCCTGGGGCTCCCTAAAGATGTGTCAAATGAATAAATGAATCAGAGAGCCCATGAGTGAGTGAATGATATTGAACTTCCCTGCTTATCCAACCTGGCTTCCCACAGCCCAAGTACTGGCAGCCCTGGCTATGGGCCCTATGGCCCAGCTCTGCCTGGAGCCCTCACCATGTGTCCTCCTGGCTGGAGCCCATCCATGTGGCACAGGACAGTGCGCTGGTTCCTCCGCTGAGGCTTGGTCTCCAGAGTCATGGCCACCACCTCACTGCCTGTACCTACCACTTGCACCTGGTGGGCAGTATTGGGGGACAGCCAATTGGAGTGGCAGCAAAGGCCTGAGGCCTGAACCACTGCAGGCCAAAGCCCTGCCCTGCTGCCTCCCCCCTGCTGCAGCTCCTGACTCCTACCTGGTAGATCAGGGAGCCATTTCCTAGCAGTGAGAGGCTGGCTGAGCCAGCAGCACCCGTCTGCACTGGAATCAGGGCATCAGCCCCACAAAGGACACTTTGCAGGACTGCAGAGGGTCAAGACAGGTGGTGGAAGGCTTGCCCCCATGGGCACTCATACTCCCAGCCCCTAGGATCTCAACCACACCCAACTGGGCCCCTCCCCTAGCACTTGTCAGCCCCTCTTGGTTGTGTGTACCCAAAGTGCCAGGCCCCACTCTGCCTCACCTTCGCAGCTCTGCCTGGCAGCAATGTGTCCACTGATGCGCAACCCTGGCCCACCTGCTCTCTCCAGGGCCATCTGCAGCTCCCCCAGCACCAGCCAGTCCATTTCCTGAACTGTCAGGTTGGGCAGCACCTCAGCAAAGCCTGGCTCCTAGAGACAAAGCAGGGCATAGTGGGCAACAGCAAGACACCAGAGCAGGTGACGGCAAGAGCCAGACCCTCACTCACTTGGGCTGAGGCATTGGCCTGGAGCTCTCGCAGTAGCTGCCCCTGGTGTAGAATCTGGAGCCTCAAGGGAACCTGGGCCAGTCCTGCAATGGCCGCACATGTGAACATTCCTGAGAGAGAAGTGCTCTCCCTACCCTTCTCATACACTTTTCCCCCATCCCACTTACCCCCATTCCTGGGTTCCAGCAGCCCCCGAAACAGCAGCAAAAAATGCAAGGAGTCCTCCATGTCACTGAGAGTGAGTAGGGCAATGCCCCCTACACCCTGCTGTGGGGGGCCTTCCAGAGTCAGTATAGCACTGAAGGTCTCTGGGGGAGAGAGGACCATAAGAGCCCATCAGAAAACCCCCTCCTCAACCCACCCCATGTCTGGAGCCAGAGAATACTCAGAACTTCACCTCTAGGGGATGTTGGCTCCCCTTACCTGCAGCCAGGGCCCGGTGCCGTATAAGAGGCCCCCAGACCTCCCCTGAAGGGTGGGCGTGTGTCACAAGTGCCACGTGCAGCTGTTCTGCCCTAAGGAGACGCAGAGACAACCGAGGGACTGCCCGCCACACCCCACAGACCTAGAGCAGGAAGACAAGAAGGCCCCACACTCAGACAGTAGGCAGGACAGGCCAGCCAAGAGGCCCAGGCCTGGTGAGGAAGGAATACGGAAAGAAGCCCCCAGGCCCTCCTCGGAAGCTTAAGAAGGGGCCCTGGAGCCAGATGCTTGGGTTCGAATCCTGGCTCCACCACTTACTAGCTGTGTAACTTTGAACAAATCACATTCTGCTACTGAGCCTCAGTTTCCTCATCTGTAAAATGGGCATCATAATGGCAGTGCCTTCCTCCCATTGGACGGTTGTGAGGACCAAAGGAGGCAATGCAGAGCATGCTCTCAGCACAGTGCCCAGACTGGGTAAGTGCTCATAAATGGCATCATCTCACCAGGCCATCTTGGGCGGGGGCTGCAGGGTGTTCAAACAGGACACTGCCATTGGAGTCTGAGAAGCGGACCCTGGTGGGGCGGTTTAGCCTGGGAATGAGAGGTCGGGTAAGGCTGGACTCCGAGCCTGGGCCAGAAGCAGCCTTTCCCAGCTGGCTCTCCCAGTTCTCCCTCCCGCTGCCCAGCTCACCCCTCCTCCTTCCTTCTCCTTTCTCCCGTTCTCTCTTTCTTACCGCTTGTAGGAGATGGAGAAGCGTAGGCTAGAGCGCAGCAGCGAGACTCGGGCCCGTGCCACCGCCTGCGACCTCGGCCCTGTCAGCAGCGCCACGAAGTCTGCATGGGAGTTAGATGGCCTGAGCACTGTCAACCGCTGCTGGAGGCCAAGCCCCACGAACGCACCCCCAGTCCCCACCTACCCGTGTGGCTGTCTCCACGTGCGCGCTCCTCAGCGCCCGGCTCCCCGCGGTTGCTGTAACTGCGGTGCTCCGGATCCCGCGGATTAGGGCAATGCCCCCTACACCCTGCTGTGGGGGGCCTTCCAGAGTCAGTATAGCACTGAAGGTCTCTGGGGGAGAGAGGACCATAAGAGCCCATCAGAAAACCCCCTCCTCAACCCACCCCATGTCTGGAGCCAGAGAATACTCAGAACTTCACCTCTAGGGGATGTTGGCTCCCCTTACCTGCAGCCAGGGCCCGGTGCCGTATAAGAGGCCCCCAGACCTCCCCTGAAGGGTGGGCGTGTGTCACAAGTGCCACGTGCAGCTGTTCTGCCCTAAGGAGACGCAGAGACAACCGAGGGACTGCCCGCCACACACCACAGACCTAGAGCAGGAAGACAAGAAGGCCCCACACTCAGACAGTAGGCAGGACAGGCCAGCCAAGAGGCCCAGGCCTGGTGAGGAAGGAATACGGAAAGAAGCCCCCAGGCCCTCCTCGGAAGCTTAAGAAGGGGCCCTGGAGCCAGATGCTTGGGTTCGAATCCTGGCTCCACCACTTACTAGCTGTGTAACTTTGAACAAATCACATTCTGCTACTGAGCCTCAGTTTCCTCATCTGTAAAATGGGCATCATAATGGCAGTGCCTTCCTCCCATTGGACGGTTGTGAGGACCAAAGGAGGCAATGCAGAGCATGCTCTCAGCACAGTGCCCAGACTGGGTAAGTGCTCATAAATGGCATCATCTCACCAGGCCATCTTGGGCGGGGGCTGCAGGGTGTTCAAACAGGACACTGCCATTGGAGTCTGAGAAGCGGACCCTGGTGGGGCGGTTTAGCCTGGGAATGAGAGGTCGGGTAAGGCTGGACTCCGAGCCTGGGCCAGAAGCAGCCTTTCCCAGCTGGCTCTCCCAGTTCTCCCTCCCGCTGCCCAGCTCACCCCTCCTCCTTCCTTCTCCTTTCTCCCGTTCTCTCTTTCTTACCGCTTGTAGGAGATGGAGAAGCGTAGGCTAGAGCGCAGCAGCGAGACTCGGGCCCGTGCCACCGCCTGCGACCTCGGCCCTGTCAGCAGCGCCACGAAGTCTGCATGGGAGTTAGATGGCCTGAGCACTGTCAACCGCTGCTGGAGGCCAAGCCCCACGAACGCACCCCCAGTCCCCACCTACCCGTGTGGCTGTCTCCACGTGCGCGCTCCTCAGCGCCCGGCTCCCCGCGGTTGCTGTAACTGCGGTGCTCCGGATCCCGCGGATACTCGAAGGGCAGACCCGTCGGCTGCCGCTCCGGACTGCTGCGCTCTGCGCGGGGGGTAGGGGACACGGGCTTCAGCTGGCCACGCGGAGGGCCAGTCGGCCACCCCAATCTAACTGGCCCAAGACCTAGTACCACGGCCCTGCCGCGCTCCCCTCGCGGCGGGGTGGGCCTTACCCTGGGGGCAGGTCTGGCAGCAGTGTCCTGGCAACTGGCGCGGCTGCCCGCAAGCCAGGGTTGGGCACTCGGGTTTGATGTTCTTGCAGGTGACCCTGCCGGGACCTCTCACACGGCGACCCCACTGAGGCTGCTCACGGAGAAGAAGGGAAAACAAATGAATGCAACATGCCAACGGGTGACAACCCAGGGCGAGGGGAAGAATCCAGGGACCAGGGCAAGGTCGTCCCACTTAGACAGCTGTGTCACTTAGAAGCTGTGGTAGCCCTAGACAAATTATTTAACCTCTCCGGGCCTTAGGGTCCCTATCTGGGGAAAAAAAAAAATGGGGATAATAATAGTATCTATCTAGCAAGGATGTAATGGGAGTTAAGTGAGAGACAGACGAAACGGAGTTGGCACAGAGCCTGACACATAGTAGGCGATCAAAAATAAACACCTGAAACTTGAAGGGGGCAATACCCCTTCCTCCAGCAGAAAATATTCCAACTGTCTGCGGACTAGCCTTTCTCCTCAGCAGCTCCGAGTGCACTCCGATGTCCCAGGACCCCAGCGCTCCCCCACCCGCAAGGGCCCGGGCCGCGGCCGCGGTGTCCACTCACCGCCTCGCAGGCGCACAGCACACAGCGCATCACCCCGAAGGGCTCCCCCAGGTCCGGGTGCCACGTCTCGTCCAAGGCATAGACCTTCCCGCCGAAGGAGCAGCCTGCGGGGATGGGCTTGGCTGGCGGCCGCTGCCCCGCTCGTGCCGTGTGCCCGCCCCGGGCGCTGCCCGCCGGGCCCTGGGTCCCCCGGCACGACGCGACTAGAGCCCCCGCCCACCAGTCCAGGCCGCCCGCTGCGCCGAGCCACCTGCGCCGGGCACCCCGTAA